AATACCAAGTTACTGAGCCGAAAATGTTAAATCCAAAAATTAAAATAATAAATTATAAAAGTAGTGAGAAACCGAATGAAAAGCAAATTGAAGAAGATCTTATACATCAGAATTATATGATTCAGAGTGGAGACATACAAGTAAAGTTTATCAAATATTTTCCATCAAGAAACAATTACACTGTCTACGCGGAAACTTCTGGAAAGCTATTCAAAAAAATCTTCGAAGAGAATAATAGAAGAATACTTCTGGGATGGCAATGTTTGACAGTATATCAAAATAACGACATTCCTCAGTGTAGAAAATGCTACCGTTTTAATCATACAGAAAAGAATTGCAGGAATGAGAAGATATGTGCCAACTGTGGCAACGGTCACGAAGGAGAAAATTGTAAGCATGTATCAATAGAATGCTGCAACTGTAGATATGGAAATGAAAGATATAAAAAAAATTATAATATTAACCACTCACCTACCGACAAAAACTGTCCATCGTACAAATATTATCAGGAACAACAAAACTTAAGGATACTTTTTTAAAATTCAAGTTCTTCTTTTACTACTCCTATCTCTAAAGAGGACCTAAAAATGTCAGTAAATAAATACATTAATGATTTCCAAATTCCAAGTATTGCAACAAATATAGCACAAAACGTCGATGAACTTAATTTATGTACACAAAATTCTGATGCAAAATTTCGAATTTTTAATATGAACATAAGGAGTATAAAACACAACATTGATTACTTAAAAATACTACTCGACCAAATATGGTACAATTTTGATCTAATAGTTTTAACTGAAACATGGCAAGTGGTTGATATTTCTTGCTTCAATCAGCAGGGATATAACACGCTGTATAACTTTGGCACTTATAACCAAAACGATGGGGTGATAGTTTTTGTAAGAAATAAACTGCAATATAATCATGATACATTCACTTTCAGCGATGGAATCAAAATTTTAAACATAATGATCCAAATTAACCATAACAAAATTGAGGTATCTGCAATTTATCGTCCGCCATGTTCAGAACCCCACTAGTTTTTAAAGAATATCGAATTTTTTTTTCAAAATCAAAATAAAGTTCATCAACATCATTCAACATATTTTCTTGGGAGATGTCAATATAAATATTTTGGACGATGATCCCATCACAAATGAATACTTGAATATCCCATCAAGTAACGGATTTCTGTCCTATATAAACCTACCTACAAGGTCCATCAGTGGCACATGTATAGATCACTGCTTTGTGAAAGACCTATCCAACAAAATTACTTGTATACCAATAATCCTACAAAGCGATATTACTGACCTCTTCTCCACTATTTTACTGATATCTTCAAATGAAAAACGTTCTAACATCCCTACCGTTAATAACAACCAGAAAAATTACAAATTTTTTGTCGACAATTCAAAACTAATATCAAATGTCAAACAAGAATCCTGGGAACAATTATACTCTATAAATAATATAGACAAAGCAATGGGACTGTTCATAGAGAAAATAAAAAAACTAATAGATATTAGTACCAATAAAGTAATAATTAGTCACAGAGACAAAAGCAGAAATGCCTGGATTACCAAAGGATTAATAACATCGGCAATAGAAAAAGAAAGACTATATAATGTAATGAAACTAACGCCAACTACAGAGAATACCGACTGCTACAACCAATATAAAAATAAATTTATAGAGCTTGTAAGGCAAACCAAACGAAAACATTACCTAAATAAATTGAATAATAACTTAAATGATCCTAAGCGGCTTTGGACAACTATTGATGAGATTACTGGGAAAGCAAAAGTTAAAGAGTGTGTCACTGAGTTAAATTCAACATCGGGAACAGTATTAAAAAATACTCAACAGATATGCGATGAATTTGTACAATTCTTCACTGACATAGGCGAAAATTTAGCAAGTAATATACAAGCAAATGTACAAGATACTCAGCCTCCAAAAAGAACTTTGAACTCATTTATTTTGGATAATGTCGAGCAATGTGAAGTATACACCACTGTTATGTCCTTAAAAAATCGGAAAAGTCCTGGGTTCGATGGTATTAAAAGCGAGCATTTGAAAATTATAGCCGAGGACATAACAGAACCACTCACTTACCTAATCAACAAATGCTTTGAATCTGGCATATATCCCTCAATTTTAAAAAAAGGTAATATAATACCGATACATAAATCAGGAACAAAAACAGATGTTAACAACTATAGACCAATATCAATAATATCCAGTGTAGCAAAGGTTTTTGAAAAAGTTTTATCTACTAGAATGATTCGATACCTCACAAAATTCAAAATTTTAAGTGAAAATCAATATGGATTTACAGAAGGGAAGGCTACATCGGACGCAATAACTAAAATTGTAAATCAAATACATCAAAATATTGATAACAGAATCCCTTCAATCTGCATTTTTGTTGATTTAAAGAAAGCTTTCGACACAGTTAATCACAAATTATTATTAGAAGCATTGGAGAGAATTGGTTTCAGAGGAAACGCGTACTCACTGATCGAAAGTTATTTGTCAAATCGCCCACAATCTGTGCAGATATCAGGATCATTTAGTAAAGAAATGTATATTAAGTGTGGTGTGCCACAAGGAACTGTCTTAGGTCCGCTGTTATTCAATATATATTTAAATGATATTTTCCAAATTAATTGTGTTGGCAAAATAACTAGTTTTGCAGATGATACTGCAATATTATATGAAGGCACTGACTGGTCTGATCTGAAAAATGTAATTGAAAATGATTTTATCAAAATTATTCAGTGGTTTAACAGTAGAAAATTAAGCATTAACTACTCTAAAACACATTTTTTACCATTTGGATCTTATGCTAGACATCTGCCAAATTACACAAATTTCTCCTTCAATATTAATGATCAAAAAATGCAAATTAATAGAGTGCCCAACATAAAATACCTTGGAGTGGTCTTGGATCCTCACTTACGATGGGACATCCATGTCACTTATATTTTAAAGAAAGTTAGATTTGTATCCTACAAAATTAAATACCTTGGGAATATATTGACAGAAAAATATCTTCGAACATTATACCATGCACTGATTGAGCCTCATCTCACATATGGTATATTAGCATGGGGAGCTGCATGTTCCTCACATGTCTATAATTTAGATGTTTTCCAAAAAAGTATTCTAAAAATGATATTTAAAAAACCGAAACTTTATCCCACTGAAAAATTATACGCAGATGTTCGAATGTATGATATAAGATAGCTTTATTTCTTACACAGTATCACTCACTACCATAAATTTGTAAACACCGACCAAAAAATTAAACATAATCATTATACCAGGTACAAAATTCGTGGCACAGTAGTTCCTCAACCGCATAAATCTATAATGCAGCGATCATATCTCTATTTAGCGCCTAAATTTTATGAAATTATACCTAAAGACTTAAAAGATTTACGTTTCGGAAATTGTTTCAAAAGAAATTTAAAAAAGTGGCTACATTCTATATCTAGGACTGAAATTCATAAACTCATAAATACGAACATCAACTAAATACATAATCTACTGTAGCTAATTTTTGTCCTTTTTTGTCATTTGCATTCTACAGTTTCAACTTAAATTATTGGTCCATGTACAGGCGATGCCTTCTATTGGGCCTGTTTTGATTTTATATTTATTTACTCATATTGTTTGTTATCTTTGTACATTGAGTGAATAAATATTATTATTATTATTATTATTATTATTACGAGGTTCTTGAAGGTGAAGACCTTCCGCTGCGTGGTTCTACTTCATTCGACTTTCTCCCTTCTGAAAATGCCTTGAACTACCGAAAAAAAATTGGGGGAAAGTCGCCCAATATGGCAACCCTATATTCCCCTGTCTCACTTGCAAGCCCGGCGCCTCCAGTGTGGCAGATTTTCATTAAGTTTACAGACCTCGTAAAGATTAGAATTACTCACAGTAATCAAATAAAAATTACGAAAGCATCTACTATCTGCACGTCGTTCTGTCCGTAAAACAAACATCATTGACCTTCTAATATTTTCCTGAAAAAATGTATAATCGCCAAGGTAGCTCACGTGGAATTAGATTGAGAATTATATTTTAAAACCCATCGCTTTCAGTTTTACTTACGATTCCGCCATACCTATTATTGAGAAATTCTGCTAATTTCGATATTTATACATGATAACCCTGTAGTATTTTAAAATAGGTATACCGCACTCTATAATTTTGCTACATCCAAAACGTCCATTCAGTTGTGATTCAATTTCCCTTCCTTATCACCATATATGTTTTCACGCAGTACAACGCGATAAACCGCAAAATCAATTTATTTTAACTAAAACGCACAGGAAATACCGAAATAGAATGTATGACAGTTTTAAATTGTCATGAATACTGTACATTTGTACATAGTTTTCCATCTTTAGATGTTGGTAATGGGATTTATCCGTATTGCTAAGCACTACAATCAAAGTATTAAGTATGCTAAATACGGTATCCCACTGTATAACAGCTGAACCTATACGATTTTAAAAAAAGATTTAACCTGATCTACTACACGCAAGAACAAAGGCCTAATATATGACCAAAGCTCACTACGCTTTAAAGGATAATGCCTCACTTTGTTTCTTTTGAAGTTGTCTTGATCTTTTTTGCAAAAAAATTTTATTTATTATTTATTTATTAGCAGCAGATTCAACATGTATACAGTTTTTTACATCCTATTAAATATATAGACTTTACAATTATTGTATAATATTTAAATCCAGCTATCTATTCTTAAAATTACCCACTATTGCTAATAGTTTTAGATGCACAATTGTATTCAAAATACTGTGTGTGCACCCATTCACATTGTTTAGTGTAACTTTTTCATTGAGGTTCTTAATTCTAGTTTACAAAGAGAAAAAGAAATATAAAAATAGATCAAACAAATTCAAAGCTATTATGTTTTATCTTAAATTTTAGGAACTTAATACCTTTAATGCTACAGGTTTTTATATTACATAATTAATGGCGTATTGACTATCAATAATCCATCTTGTTAATTCCTTTTTAACAGTAGAATATCTCAATCTCTTAATACTATTTGGCACATCAGTATAAACTTTTGGACCTATACAGTAAACGTGACTCTGGCAAGCTGTGCGTCTAGGGCTTTGTAATTTTACTTTTGCATGAGCAGCACTTCTTGTATTTTGGCCATGCTGTAAGTATTCTTTGTATAACTCATATTTCATCATAAATCTTATAAGTGATTTTAAATAGAGCTGCTCTGGGTACAGTATTTTACTGTCTCTAAAAACAAGTTCAGATGAATATCGTATCTGTTTGAAAAGCATAATTTTTATGATCCATTTCTGAGCTACCTGTAACTTGGATAACGTTGTTAAACTTGTTTTTCCCCAAACTACGAAACCATAATTAATTACAGATTCTGTTAAAGCAAAATAAACTGTTTTAAGAGTTCTGAAGTCTAATATTTCCTTTAATTCATAAAATTTGTGAATAAGTTTTCTAATCTTTGTTGTAACATACTCAACATGATCTTTCCAAGTAAGAAGTTCATCTATAATTATTCCTAGATATTTCAAGCTCGATTTCTTATTTATATATTTTATATTTGCTACATGCACACTGAGGTGCAAAGTCACAATATGAGTCATGAATCTATCTCTAGTATTGGAGATGTTCTTGTATCTTCTATTTTGAACTGTATATTATTTTCTTATATATTTTGTATGAGCGTTATTTTTTTATGGGTTTAGTTGAAAACCAGCTTGTCGTTGCATTATCTTTTTTCTTAAGTTGCCTTGAATGATGAATAAAGACTATTTATCATTATTGTCATTTATCATCATTATTAATATTAAATCTATTTTGATGAATTCCTCAATACGGTGCAATCAAGAGATCTATGAGTATTGAGAACTACCACATTCCGGTGAGAAAAAGGTCAATATAGTCAAATAAGCCGATTTTGGTAGAAGGCATTCATGAACTGTCGTATACCAATGGGGCTTGGTCAATTAATAGCTCTTGTTAAAAAAAAAGGTTAATGAACACAGATTTGAGTAAATAAGAACAACAGATTGATGGTCTCCTAATCGTAATTCGAATTATATCTCCACACAGATTAATGCAGAAAAACTTGCATTAGTGCAGGAATGTATCATGCTATAATAATAATAATAATAATAATAATATTTATTCACTCAATGTACAAAGATAACAAAAAATATGAGTAAATAAATATAAAATCAAAACAGGCCCAATAGAAGGCATCGCCTGTACATGGACCCATAAATTTGAGTTGAAACTGTAGAATGCAAATGACAAAAAAGGAAAAAAATTAGCTACAGTAGATTATGTATTTAGTTGATGTTCGTATTTATGAGCTTATGAATTTCAGTCCTAGATATAGAATGTAGCCACTTCTTTAAATTTCTTTTGAAACAATTTCCGAAGCGTGAATCTTTTAAGTCTTTAGGTATAATTTCATAAAATTTAGGCGCTAAATAGAGATATGATCGCTGCATTATAGATTTATGTGGTTGAGGAACTACTGTGCCACGAATTTTGTACCTGGTATAATGATTATGTTTAATTTTTTGGTTGGTGTTTACAAATTTATGGTAGTGAGTGATACTGTGTAAGAAATAAAGCTGTCTTATATCATACATTCGAACATCTGCGTATAATTTTTCAGTGGGATAAAGTTTCGGTTTTTTAAATATCATTTTTAGAATCCTTTTTTGAAAAACATCTAAATTATAGATATGTGAGGAACATGCAGCTCCCCATGCTAATATACCATATGTGAGATGAGGCTCAATCAGTGCATGGTATAATGTTCGAAGATATTTTTCTGTCAATATATTCCCAAGGTATTTAATTTTGTAGGATACAAATCTAACTTTCTTTAAAATATAATTGACATGGATGTCCCATCGCAAGTGAGGATCCAAGACCACTCCAAGGTATTTTATGTTGGGCACTCTATTAATTTGCATTTTTTGATCATTAATATTGAAGGAGAAATTTGTGTAATTTGGCACATGTCTAGCATAAGATCCAAATGGCAAAAAATGTCTTTTAGAGTAGTTAATGCTTAATTTTCTACTGTTAAACCACTGAATAATTTTGATAAAATCACTTTCAATTACATTTTTCAGATCAGACCAGTCAGTGCCTTCATATAATATTGCAGTATCATCTGCAAAACTAGTTATTTTGCCAACACAATTAATTTGGAAAATATCATTTAAATATATATTGAATAACAGCGGACCTAAGACAGTTCCTTGTGGGACACCACACTTAATATACATTTCTTTACTAAATGATCCTGATATCTGCACAGATTGTGGGAGATTTGACAAATAACTTTCGATCAGTGAGTACGCGTTTCCTCTGAAACCAATTCTCTCCAATGCTTCTAATAATAATTTGTGATTAACTGTGTCGAAAGTTTTCTTTAAATCAACAAAAATGCAGATTGAAGGGATTCTGTTATCAATATTTTGATGTAATTGATTTACAATTTTAGTTATTGCGTCCGATGTAGCCTTTCCTTCTGTAAATCCATATTGATTTTCACTTAAAATTTTGAATTTTGTGAGGTATCGAATCATTCTAGTAGATAAAACTTTTTCAAAAACCTTTGCTACACTGGATATTATTGATATTGGTCTATAGTTGTTAGCATCTGTTTTTGTTCCTGATTTATGTATCGGTATTATATTACCTTTTTTAAAATTGAGGGATATATGCCATTCAAAGCATTTGTTGATTAGGTAAGTGAGTGGTTCTGTTATGTCCTCGGCTATAATTTTCAAATGCTCGCTTTTAATACCATCGAACCCAGGACTTTTCCGATTTTTTAAGGACATAACAGTGGTGTATACTTCACATTACTCGACTTTATCCAAAATAAATGAGTTCAAAGTTCTTTTTGGAGGCTGAGTATTTTGTACATTTGCTTGTATATTACTTGCTAAATTTTCGCCTATGTCAGTAAAGAATTGTACAAATTCATCGCATATCTGTTGAGTATTTTTTAATACTGTTCCCGATGTTGTATTTAACTCAGTGACACGCTCTTTAACTTTTGTTTTCCCAGTAATCTCATCTATAAATTTATTTTTATATTGGTTGTAGCAGTCGGTATTCTCTGTAGTTGGCGTTAGTTTCATTACATTATATAGTCTTTCTTTTTCTATTGCCGATGTTATTAATCCTTTGGTAATCCAGGCATTTCTGCTTTTCTCTTTGTGACTAATTATTACTTTATTGGTACTAATATCTATTAGTTTTTTTATTTTCTCTATGAACAGTCCCGTTGCTTTGTCTATATTATTTATAGAGTATAATTGTTCCCAGGATTCTTGTTTGACATTTGATATTAGTTTTGAATTGTCGACAAAAAATTTGTAATTTTCCTGGTTGTTACTAACGTTTAACATGTTAGAATGTTTTTCATTTGAAGATATCAGTAAAATAGTGGAGAAGTGGTCAGTAATCTCGCTTTCTAGGATTATTGGTATACAAGTAATTATGTTGGATAGGTCTTTCACAAAGCAGTGATCTATACATGTGCCACTGATGGACCTTGTAGGTAGGTTTATATAGGACAGAAATCCGTTACTTGATAGGATATTCAAGTATTCATTTGTGATGGGATCATCGTCCAAAATATTTATATTGACATCTCCCAAGAAAATATGTTGTTTTAAATGAACTTTATTTTGATTTTGAAAAAAAAAATCGATATTCTTTAAAAACTCGTCGGGTTCTGAACATGGCGGACGATAAATTGCAGATACCTCAATTTTGTTATGGTTAATTTGGATCATTATGTTTAAAATTTTGATTCCATCGGTGAAAGTGAATGTATCATGATTATATTGCAGTTTATTTCTTACAAAAACTATCACCCCATCGTTTTGGTTGTAAGTGTAAAAGTTATACAGCGTGTCATATCCCTGCTGATTGATGCAAGAAATATCAGCCACTTGCCACGTTTCAGTTAAAACTATTAGATCAAAATTGTACCATATTTGGTCGAGTAGTATTTTTAAGAAATCAATGTCGTGTTTTATACTCCTTATGTTCATATTAAAAATGATAAATATGATAAAAAAGATCCAGTCTAGTCAAACAAATCGCAGACAATTAGTAACCGGAAGCAAAAAATGCCTTATGACATTTGTTTCAACAAGGCCACTGAAAATGTTAGTCTAGGAATGATCATCCATAGAAACAGCTGAGGGGGCATTTGACGAATATTTTTTATAAAACAAAGCTCACATATTTCCACAGTTTTATAATAAATTAGGAATGATATTTTTTCTCAAATTCTTGATTTTATTTAAAAACAAAATCTCTTTATTATATTTGTACAGGTTACACAATGCAAAGAATGGTGGGGCATGGTGTCCCCGTCAGATGGTCTCACGTGATTCCAAAGAGTACCTGCAAGTGGACCTGGAGGAAGAGTACGTGGTGGCTGCACTTCATACTCAAGGTCGCTTCGGTAACGGACAAGGCCAGGAGTATGCCGAAGGTTACATGGTGGATTACTGGAGAGCTGGAATGGCAGAAGGAGCTTGGAAGCGGTGGAAGAATAGAGTGGGGAAAGAGGTGAGTGATGAAGGTATCTTTTAATTCTGGCAGCGAAGATCGATTTTCTTTTTTTCTTAAGATGCGTTTCCAACATTCAAGGGTTGATCAGAGATAAAGATCTCAGCGATTTTATACATGTACTCTTTATTCTCATAGAGATTTACATCATTGGAAAGAAGGAACTAAGCTCTAATTTTCTACATAATCGCCATTCTTGTAGACGGTATTCAAAATTTTGCGTCACAATGAGCCGTACTAATAAAAGAGAAGCATATCCTCGGAAGCATAAGGTAAAAGTATAAGGTCTTGCTTCGGAGAAAAATGTAGAAGTATAAGCATATCCTTGTTTTCATACTCATAATGATTACCTTACACTCGCGAGGATATCCTCCAAGAAGAAGTAAAAGGTTGACTGGTATTTGTATCTTGAGCGACATGTCCTGACATGTTTCAGCTTGCAGTTGACGTGGGAGTTCGTTCACTCAGCATCATTGACAGTTGTACTCCAGAGCTTACACAGATCGTTCCGTATTTTTACTACTGTTTTGTATCAAATTAATAAGCATGTCATCCTCAAGTGATGAGGAAACTATAGAGAATAATGGCAATAATCGCAGATGAAATTGCCATTGCTCCCATTATTTTGCAAAAGTCACAAGTTCCAAAAATAAAAATGAAAAAGGACGATGCCTTGAAGAAGATGTTAAATAAATACGAATAAAGATTCGGTAAACCATTAGATACTAAAGGCGGCTTATTAAAGAAAATCAACAACATGAAATCAAGATTGAAGAAAAAAACAGATCTAAAAAAAAACTGGTAATAAAGCAATTGAATTGTTATATTGGGAAAGAAGGTTGCTGAAAGCTATGGAAGGAGATTGTAATCCTACAATTGGGAAAATTAGAGATGCCATTCAGGTTGGTAGTGTTCAAGAAGAAGGAAGTGGATCTGTTTCAAAACAAACTGAAAGTAAACATACAAGAAAAAGATATAGTCAATACCATCGCATACCAAACAAAAACTCAAATAACAGTACGTCGGCCGTTCTGGTACGGTTCACCTCCAGCGATTCACTGGCATCGGTTTTGAAAAATCGAAAACTGTTGAAAAACACCGGCATTCGTATAAAAGAAGATCTGACTAAATCGCGACTGAAGTTATTTAAAAGATGTATTGATTTGTTTACGAAAAACAATGCGTCGATTCTAAGAGGAAATATTTTCGTAAAACAAAACAATGAAGTTCATCGAATCGCCAGTGATGAGGACCTACACAAAATTAATGTTTAAGAGGTTTTTTTTTTGTAAGGTTTTCAATAAACAATGCAGTGTAGTGAGGTATGTGGGGGGACGGGTGCTGCAGCATTCTAACATGAAGGTAACATTACTGTAGATGTTTTCAAAGTAGGCAGTGTTAGACGTTATTTCTAGTCGTAAAAAATGTATTAGTATTAGCTACTTTGAATGTGGCTTAAACAGTACTTCGCCTATTATTATTTTTCTTCTTACACTTTTAGGTTAAAAAAATAAGAAATAATTGTTTAATAATAATTAGTACGAATCACAATGTTGTTATGCAATAATTTTAAACGAATTTATTAGTCCATACACATATACTTTGCCAATTTACAGTAATTTTATGGACACTAAATAAAATAAAAATGCCTAATTTCAAAATACATGTCAAGAATAATTAAATTAAGAAAATAAATAATGAATTTCTGTTTCATTCGTATACTCGTTGTTTTTTGGAAAAACCTCAAAAGATGTGGCAGTGGTTTCAGTTTTTATTTTTCGCAGCAAGTTATGGACTTAATTCTGATAATTTTTGGGAAAAACATAAATTGTGTCTCTGGACCTGCTAATGCCACAGATAACGCATTGCTGTGAGGGTATGTATGCAAGTACGCATGTATACTTAAGAATGGCAATTATTTTTAGGTTGTTAGGTTTAGTCTCGTTTACCAAATTAAATAAGAACAAAATTGTAATAGTGTTACATAGAGGTTATAGGTTGACGCGGGGGCATGGGGATGACGGGGATTGGTCTTCGGGGACTGGCAATAGTGAGGAAATAAGGGATAACGGATAATGATAACATGGGTCAGCGAGTGGAGAGTGTTAATGATGAATCAATATTTGATAGTCCACACCAAAATCATTTCACAGTCGGACATCTAAATATCAGATCCATAAATTCTGGATTTGACGAGTTCTGTAATTATATGACAGAATACAATTTTGATATTTTTGGAGTTTCTGAAACATGGCTCAATCCAACTTTAAGAAGTGAGAGTTTTTGCTTGCCTGGGTACAAATTTATAAGGAATGATAGGCAGGGTCGAGGAGGAGGGGTAGCTTTATACATAAAAAGCGGGTTGAAATATTCAAGGGTAAATGTGGAAATTATGTAACTGTGCAGAAACCATACGTATAGAATTTAAGATAGGTGGAAAAACTTATCTTTTAGTTAATAGTTATCGTTCGCCTTCTGAGAGTGTCACTTATTTTTTAGACTCCTTAGAAAATTTTCTCGGTTTTGTCAGTGTCAAATATGATTATTTATTACTGATAGGAGATCTAAATATTAACATTTTAAATAATTCTGCATACACAAATCGCCTCAAAAATATAATTCATAGTTTTAACTTATCACAAAGGATCAGTGAGCCAACAAGATTCAATTTTGCCACAAGAGAGGCTAGCCTCATTGATATAATCTGTGCTAGTGAGGATCTTATCTCTATCGATTCTAAATCATTGGCAGTTTCTCAAAATCTCTCAGATCATAACTTAATTTACTCAGCCTTTCGAAAGTTAAAAATAAATAAATCACAAAAGACTATTAAATATAGAGACTACAATAATATAGATAGAGAATCCTTCTTAAATGCAGGGTTTCTACTTGGGTGGGAGGATATTTACTATATAAACCAAATCGACCGAAAAATAGAAGTCTTTAATAAAAATATAGTAACTGTTCTGAATAAGCATGCTCCAATAAAAACAAAAAAAATAACCGAACAACCTTATGTACCCTGGATAACTCAAAATATAAGAATTTTAATCAGACTAAGAGATAAAGCTCATAAAAAATTTCAAAAATCAAAATCACAGGCTCATTTTGAATATTATAAACAACTAAGGAACTATACAAAGCATTCAATTATCCGAGAAAAAAATACATTCTTTAACTTACTCTCAACAAAGAAAGGTAAGGAATTTTGGGACACTACCGAAAAGCTCAACATAACATGCAAGAAAACTCACTCAACTATACCCGAACACTTACAAAATGTAAATGACATACACAATTACTTCCAGCAGACCGACAATTTACCAGACACTGCTTCCCAAGAATTAATCAATTTTTACAAAAACAATGTAAATATTAACGATTCTCTTAGCTTCCAACTGTTAGACAGGGCCAGTCTAATCAAAATTGTAACTAATATCTCATCAAATGCCATTGGAGAGGATGGTTTCTCTATGAGAGACCTAAAGTTATGTATCCCATTTTGTACGAATGCCTTGCTGAATATAATCAACACATGTATTTTGGGGGGATTATTTCCAGAAATATGGAAGAAAGCTATTGTTAAACCCTTACCAAAAATAGCAGAACCTAAAGAATTTACAGACTTGAGGCCTATTAGCATATTACCCGCTACGTCCAAAATTTTAGAAAGGCATATTTATAATCAAATTAGGTTTTTTTGTGACACAAACGATATCATACCAGATAGTCAATCCGGTTTTAGAAAAAACTTTAGCACAAGTACATCATTAGTTAATATCTTGGATGATATCAGACATCATCAAGAACAAAAAAATAGTACGTGCATGGTTCTTCTCGACTTTAGTAAAGCGTTCGACACTCTGAATCATGAAATGTTACTAGCTAAGTTACATTACCAGGGGTTTTCGCAGAACTCCGTAAATCTAATAAAAACATACTTAAGCAACCGTTCAAACTGTGTTATATTAGCAAATGATTCTGCTATTTACAAAACCGATTTTAAACCTATAAAAAGAGGAGTTCCTCAAGGTTCAATTTTATCTCCTTTGCTATTTTCAATCTACATATCTGACATGGTCAAATCGGTAAAATTCGCAAAGATAAAACAATATGCAGATGACTCACAAATATATCTCCCTGTCAATAAAACCACAATCCATATTGCACAACAACAACTAAATTCAGATCTCCAAAGAATTGACACATTTGCAAAGGATCACAATCTTAAACTAAACCCCTCAAAATCGCAAGTAATGGTTATGAATAAAAACAGTACTGAAAGAGAATATTTTGAACAAAATTTAGTAATTTCTATTAACAATGACAGAATCCCCATAGTTCAGGAGACAAAAAATCTAGGCATTATATTTGACAGCTCGCTTGGCTTCGGCAGTCATATAAAAAATAGAACAAATTTAGCTTACATGCGACTAAAAAATATAAACAAATTAAAAAAACATTTATCAGCCAAACAAAAATATTATTTGTGTAATACCTTAATTTTATCACTTTTTGACTATGGAGATGTCGTCTATGGTGATTCGCTATCGTCGCGAACCAAAAAATGCATACAAAAAGTTCAAAATAGTTGCATGAGATTTGCATTTGGAATTCCATATCGAAACCATATCACTCCTTATCTGAATAACTACAACATATTAAACATGACGAATCGCAGAAAATATCACATGTATACTTTTATCTATAGGGTTATAAAAACAGGTCAACCGCCCTATTTAAGAGAAAGATTTGTGCCTTTGCCTAGTGCCCAGAGAAGTAGAAATAATCTCAATTTTATCGTACCTAGGCATAGAACGCGTTCCTTCCGACAATCGTTTGCCTATGTGGCGGTTCACTTATGGAATAATTTACCAACTTCAGTTAAAAGCTCATCATCAAAAACATTCTCAAAACTGACAAAAACGTTGTTACAGAATCAACAGCTACTTTAGCAGCGTTTGTGTGAGCAAAAATAACGTTTTTATATTCCTACTCGCTGACAAGTTGTATAGATTTGTTTTTCGCGTCCGTTGCCAGCTCCCGGGGGTTCTCTCTTCGTTTTTGCCTTTTTTGTGTTTCACCGCCTCTTCATTTGCCTCTTTATTGTATTTTTATTTTGTTTAAGAACTTTTAGGGTATTCAGGGCTTTCTCGCATGGACTCTTTGTATTAAAGGGTCCAATGTATCGGTTTTATAATCGAGAGACTGTCCTTTTTCGTCATTACTCTATATGTAGTATTTCTTTTGTTTATGATGTTTATTCATGACGAAATAAATATTTTGAATTTGAATTTGAATTTGAAAATTGCCACCAAAAAGGAAATTAGCAATAGAGAAATACGAAACCCAAAGGGTTCACTTTTTTTTATACTCCAACTACCACGAAGGCCTAAGGCGTAAACACCCGTGGGGTATCGTGGGGCCACAAAACAATTGTGATATTATAGCAGTACCAAACAAGTATTTTACAACAAGATTATTGTAAAACGAAATTAGAAATGATGCAGCGTCAGAAGCCACCTGTAACTTATGATGCTCACTAAAATGAAACTTATTATAACTTATAAATACACTTTAATCAAAAAAACTATTTATTATAATACTCAAGTTTCTCCTTATTTGTTGACCTAGTTGGAGGAAGTTCGTCATTCTTATGATTTCCTTCATCTTCTTCTGGGTCTTGTTGAACTAACTCAGTCAGGATCGCCCAAGCTCTTCGCAACATTATGGAGTACAATACAAGCAATAATTATTTTCGGCACATTCTCCAACTTTACGCGGCAAACATATTGTAGGATAGGAAACCATCGTTTCAGTTGGCCGAAACAGCGTTCAATTATAACTCTTTCTTGTTTTAAAAGCTTATTATAATTTATTTCTGCACCCGCAGTAGGGTTTCTGAAGGGAGTCATACGGCATGGCTCAATACCATAACCGTCATCGCCAAGTAGTACAACATTTGCTTTATTTATTAGTTGTGATCTAGTCTGTGAATTTATCCGTATTCTGGAGTCATGCACTGATCCAGGCCAACTGACATCAACATTTGTGAACATCTCTCTGGCATCACAAGTGGCTTGCACATTTAAAGTAGGTTTCCCTTTTCGGTTGATACACTCATCTCAATGGCGATTTGGTTTCGGGATTCCTATATGTGTACAATCAATTACACCAATTGCTGTCGCAAATTTATACATTCTTTGCCATATCCGCTTGGCCTCCATCAGTTCATGGTTGGTAGTTGGAAACTGGATCCATTCGTTCGACTATGCAGCTATGCTGTTTACAACTCTATCCACAGTCCGAGATACCGTTGCTTGACTAACACCAAGTTCCTGACCAATACCTTGTTAATATCCAGGGTCACCGAGATAGCGTACACATATCTTCATTTTATGAATACATGAAAGTGCTCCTCCTCGAGTTTTCTCATTCTCAACTAAAAATCTGTCCGCTTCGTCGACCCGATGTAATTTTTTGAAGTCACGAGCAAGTAAAGGTAAACGAGGTTTGTACGTTTTAACATCCCTAAGATCCACAATTTCCGCCATCATCGTTTGACCACCTTTCGTTACGAAGTTGAGTCTGCTACTGACTACACTCAGAATTTTTGAACCTATGCCAAGTATAAGGTAAAGATTATGAATATCCTTTTACTCATGTCACTGCTTTGAAGGATACGCTTATACTCAAAAAGCCAAAGCATTCACCCCAAATTATTATAAATACCACCTGGAGGATTTCCTTCAAAATTTGCAAGTACAAGGATATCCTTTGTTTTATGAATACGGCTCAATGTCATACCGCCCCGACGTCAACCCATTGAGGAAGCGATTTACCTCCTCCCTGTCTTCAATATCGCTCGAAAAGTGTTCGAATGTTCCTTTAACGTTAACTTTGTTTTCAAAATTTTCAAATGCTTCAAAATTTACAAAAATCTCAAAATTCTCAAAACTGTGTTAGCTCTAAGAAAAAAATAACTTGATGATTGAACACAAGAGACGAAGCATCCTATTAAATTATTACGCCATCTTGTGGAAGAGAAAAAGTGGCGCTTCACTTTAAAATCGCATTTCAAATAGTCAGTCAAAAATGAAAACGGTTCGTGGAAAATTCGAAGCGAAGTTACAGGTACCTAAATACGCTCCTGTTTAACCGGCTTCGTATCTCTTATCCTTTCCGAAACCCCAATGGTAAGTAACAAATTTGAAACACCCTGGATCTAGCATTGCTTGACAGAGTTCGGAGAAATATATGAGGCTGTATCCTTGACAAAATGTAGCTAAACTCTCTATCTCAGTTGTTCGTGATTGTAATTCCGGACGTATGTTAAGGGATTGGTCGTAAATATAAGTATGCACATCCTATTGAAACATGTATTTTATACAAAAATATAAATACTATTGCTCTAAAATATCTCACTGTCTTTTACCATTAATTATGATATCTCTAGTATTATTCAGTAGTACTCCTTGATTAGAAGTGACAGTGAAGCCGTTAATCCTAATGTTCTGCACAGGTGATTCAGGTAAACCTACCAGTGAGATAGTGTTACGACCACAATTCCCTCTAATATTGTTATACTCAATATTGTTTATAAACGGAGTTGTTACTGTGATCGGCTTCTTACTGGTGTCTTTATCGTTGTACATCGCTGATATGGCAATCCCCTCCTTCTTCACATTCGTCATCACTATATCGTGATAGTGAATGTCTGCGATGGTACCTCCTCTTTGACGGTTCGTTTTGATAAACAGACCTCTGACGGTGTTGTTGAAGTAACAGTTTCTTACAGTTATGTTCCTCAAGCCTCCCGAAGTGACGCTTCCTATGCTCACGCCTCCATGACCAGCGTTCATATGACTATTCTCTATCAGCACGTTCTGGGTGGGTTTCTTACCTGAAACATAGTGAAAATATTTCCGAAGGTTCCTTATTTTCTTTGAAATCCAGCGTAGTCTCAAAGTCGTTCTTAAAATATTGACACCTTAATTTTTTCTATTATTTTAACTCTTTAATACAAGAAAATCAATAGCTTAAAAAATATTTTGTCTTCTCTTGTAGGTGTAAAATACTACTACTACCCACTTTCTATGGGACCAGTGTAGTTGGAGACTAACATTTCTGTAGGTTTGTGTTATGCGGTTCGTAATGCGAGAATTTTGAGTCGGTACATGTATCCACCAATACTCGTATACCGAGTGACAAAAATAGGTTATCACCTACGCATGTATTTTTGGCATATTTGTTCAGTGTCGCTTACTAGTAAAATGGTTAAATTTTCAGCTTGATTTATCAACTGACTGCGGATCCACGATTTCTTATACACTCATTGACACGCCTGGGCGTCATGCTGATAAGGTGGTCGATATCCTTTTCGGTTATGTCATTTCCAGACCACTAAAACTTTGTGAGTAAGAGGTTCTAAAGTCTGTGGAGGGTGTTGCAAGTTCAGGACCCTGCGACCTATCATGTCCCAGACATGATCAATTGGGGATAGATCAGGCGATCGTGGTGGACAAGGTAAACGGTTTATGCGATGTTGATCCATGGAGGCTAACTATGCTCTGGCAACATGCGGTCTGTAATTGTCTTGCTGAAAAATCGGGTTTTGGATGGTGCTTAGGTATGGAATAAGATGAGGCTCCACTACTTCCTGAATACAGCGTCGGGCTGCCATATCGCCTCTGATGAAAATTAGAGAATTTCTGTCATTAGGATCCTTTCTTTGAGAGATACTCAAAAACAAGTCCAAGAAGAACCATATTTCCAGTCGAAACATCAAGATTTAGATCGCCTTTGGTAATCCATGTGCATAGATTATGAATCTGAAATTGGTTTCTCGCTCAGAATGACGATATGACCCAAAAGGACTATTTTCTTACTCCATATAGGCGAGACGATACAATTCATGAACATATTCGGAATCAGCATCTCAAAATACTGTAGTTTGTACCAACATAACAAAAACAATAAATTAATCGCAAACCCGTTCTCTGGAAAATTGGGTGCAGGGGGCACAAAACTTCCAAAACGTGTTGCTCATGTATACCAAGTGACATATAAATCCGAACATCCAGTTGAAATGGTTTTATTTTAATAAAAGTTGGTGAATGTATTTGTCTTGATGTAAATAACAAGTGAAAAAATTTTCAGCCCTATCAGTTGGACATTCCGGTTTTTATACTGCTTTTTTTTTAATTCACTAACGCTCTAAAAATGAATATTTCAGCCGCAGTAAACAATCAACGTTGGCGGATTTTGGTTCTTGACATCCTTTACGATCGGCTACGATGCCTAGAGTACGGCGACCTGTACGATTTCGTCAACTTAGTGAGTTTGATAGGGGCCGTATAGTGGGACTTCGGGAAGCTAGACTTTCTTTTCGGGCAATTGCAGTTAGAGTGCAAAGAAGTATAGACACTGTGGTTAGGTGTTGTCAGGCATGGCTTCGAGAAGGCCGTACGCAAAGAGCAAGGGGCACTGGACGCCGCCGTAGAACAACAGACCGTGAAGATCGCCGCCTAAGGTTATTGGCCTTAAGGGACTGTTTCTCCACTACCAGGTACATTGCAAATGAATGGTTTGCAGAACACGGAAGACCTATTGGCATGCGAAGTGTTTACCGACGAATGATAAGTTTTGGCTTGTTTTCATGCCGGCCACACTGGGTCCTCCCTTTAACTCGAGAACACCGACGTAATCGCCTTGAGTGGTGCAGACAACAGTCACTCTGGGATCAGGAATGGAACAGTATTGTCTTTAGTGACGTGTCTCGATTTTGTTCAGGCTTGCACGATGGTCGTGCCAGGGTTAGAAGGCGACGTGGTGAAAGGAGGAATCCACAGTTTTTTGTTGAAAGACATGTTCATCACACTGTTGGAGTTATGGTTTGGGGTGCTATAGCTTATTGTTCCAGGTCACCTTGAATCTTCATCAGAGGTAACATAAACGCGCAGCGTTATATCCACGAAGTTCTAGAACCCCATCTTTTACCCTGTCTTGACACCCTGGCAGATCCAACTTTCCAACAAGATAATGCCCGACCTCATGTTGCAAGAGTCACAATAGACTTCTTTCAACATAATGATGTCACATTGTTACCATGGCCACCAAGATCTCCCGACTTATCCCCAATTGAGCACGTGTGGGACATGATGGGTAGGAGATTGCTCAATTTGCAACGTCCTCCTCAGACTCTAGAAGCACTTCGAGAGGAGTTGGTGGTTGCCTGGAATGAGATACCACAGGAGGACATTGACCACCTGATCAGAAGCATGCCTAGGCGCGTTGGAGAATGCGTAGTACATCAGGGTGCATCCACACATTATTAAAGGTCAAAGGGCTTTAAAGCAGTGAAATCATTTTGAAATTTTTATCATTCACTTATTATGCTCCATTAAGTACTTATACAAAATTTTATTAAAATAAAACCATTTAAACTGGGTGTTCGGATTTATATGTCACTTAGTATATATAGATCTCAAACCTTATTTCTTGCTGACGACAAGAGGCTCTGCAAGGCCCGTTTTTCAATTTACCTCAGTTCAATATTGATGCAAAATAAAAATTCTGTGCGTCCGCAATTTTGACCAATTCCCATTTCCTGGACAAATCGAATGCCTAGGCCACCGGATATGCGAACATTTTCGCGCTGACATTGACAGCAAGTTTCAAAAGCCCTACAGTTCCTTTTTACGCTGAAGCATCCGCCTAAATACCGGGGCACTGCGACCGCTGTAAGGAGCTTAAAGATACATTGTCAGTCTGACTTTTGAGCTGCCTAAAGATAGCACAACTTGGAAGAGCCTCCTCAAGCAGATTGTTCCACAAAAGAAACAAGCAACGATCATACCGGGAAGTTCGGGATGTACGAAGCTTGAAAGTGTTAGATTTTAAGGTTCTAGTCTATCTGATAGACTCATCGCATGACGACATCATGGAGGGAGCTCTAAGGAGCAAAGCCTGTTACATAGTGGTAGAAGAGAGCGAGATCGCGAGGTTCCGTTAGAAAAAGGTTATCGATCAGTCGAACATCCTTCCTCTGAACGCTATCGAGTACGGACAAGGTAATCGTGGTGGCAGCACCCCAAACATGTGAGTAGCACTCGAGGATAGGAATTATCGGGGCCTTGCACAAAGTAAGGAGGTTATGTCGAGGAAAGTGCATGTTTTAATGACTATTCTCGAAGTCAGCGTCCCAATTTTTAGTCAAGTGTATTGAGCATAGTTCATTTGTAGCTAAAGGAGACGGAAGTGGAAAAACATCTTTATTACGTAATCATAGAACATAAAATGTAGCGATCCTACCTCTTGAGTCAGTGTTCCCATTAAGTGCTATGCAGTCATCTCCAGTAGCTATATTGACATTAGCGATATGTACGTTCTTAACAGAGTTGAGGTTGATGCCATCAGTATTTGGGCCTTTTCCATGATAATCTGGAGGGTTTTTGATGCTGATACTATTTATCTCAATATTATTGCTGTCCACAATATGTACGTTGAACATCGGACTGTTTTGGATGTGGAAGCTCTGCAGAACAATATTGTTTGCGACCCAGAAGTGTACCGAAACGGGTCTATCGCTTGGTGGGTGAAGCCGGTCCCACCAAATTTGACCTCGACCATCAATGATGGCATTGCCTTTGATTGCTACGTTGTTTACACCCATACCTCTGATTAGTGGCGTGTAGGGAAGGTGTCGCGTCTGAAAGGAAACAGGAAGGTATTCTAAACTGGAATAGCAAATCGAAATTTCAAGAAGTGGAAATTTGGTTGTAGCGCATATTAAACTAAGTAATTTGCATACCTTAACCAAAAAATGAATGAACCCATAAAACATTATTTAAACTTAACCTCAAACTATGCAAAAGTGAAGAAACTATTGTGGGCATAGCATATGAGATACATTAAAGAGATTGGTATGAACAGGCAAATCTGTTTGATAAGAGTTCTGATCATAAGACACACGTCATTAAGTGTGAGTGTATTGGATACACCAGATATATTTTTTACTTTTGGGTTGGAGTTGATAACTATAGTGCTAAAAAATGTTGCAAATGCGGCATTTGCGTTAAACTTGCAGGCTTGATTGAGTGTTTAGCATACTTTTATAACCCATGTACTTAGCGTTCAAGCGGTGATGTAGCGAATTTTTTTTTAGAGAAATCACTGCTGACAAATGGCATTTTAGTTCAATACATTTAATCATTTCATATCAAAATTTCCTATATAATTTTACAGTTTTGAAAATTAACATTTATTTAGGCTCTATTGCAATTATATAAAATATGACAAGACAAGTTAAAGACAGATTAAAAATTATTTAGAAAACATTTTTTTTTGTTTTCTAAATAATTTTTAATCTGTCTTTAACTTATCTTGTCATATTTTATATAATTTAGCCATTGTACCATGTATCCAGCTCTCACCATGTTACTGGACGTTTCCCTCATCCTATACGAAAACAACAATTAGCAACATCCTCACATACTACTCTCCTGATGATGATGGCAAAGTCCATTGAAAGCTAGAGAGAATTAAAAAAAGTATAAAGAGTCCTCTTTGCTTAAAGTTTGTCGAAGTACCCAACAAAAGGCGGAAGCCTTAATTTTTCACCTATATATATATATATATATATATATATATATATATATATATATATAATTAATTGTTAATTGGGAAATTGGCAAATTTTTAGGCTTAAGTTGACTCTTTTGACGACAAAATCAAGCTTTCGGCATTCTCTATGGAGCCTTCATCAGGATTCTGAAAACACAATTGTGATGCTAGCAAAGAAAACAGGACAGATTTAAATTGTCAAACAACTTACTCGTCGTTGAGGTTGCAGCCACAAGGTGTTTCAAAACGAACGTAGGGAAGATAGAATTTGTAATAAGTATAAAAACAATAGGACGGAGACATTGGGCTTGTTGATAACGACAGATACCTTCGTTACATGTTACGAATATCAATACACCCGAACATATTAAAAGTTATTAAACGTGAGAAGACATTTTAGTGAAACAACCGGAATACAGTCTCGAACCTCCTACTTCCGCTACTCGTGGAAAGGGGGACGGCACGGAAAGATAATGCGTCGACAGATGACAAGTGATTGATGCGACGGACCGTGGAACAGCTGATAGATTTAAATACATTAATAAAATACAGGTGCTTCAGTTGAAATAAAACTTCCAATAGAATCGGAAGCATCAGATATACAAGATGATTCACAAGTTGTGACCAAACATGAATCATCATACAGAGGACTGCATTTTAAGGGGGGTCTTGCATGCAACATTTTTTCCTAGAGGGCAGCATTAAAAAGATACGGGGTGTTGAAGTTTAAAAATAAAAAAACATTTCATTTCATACCTTCAAAACCGTCAACTGAAAGTAATGTCCACATTCTAAAGTCTCTACTTGAAATTAACGTGCCCAGCGGAGGAGATACAGAGGATTAGTGGGATTATTTTTCCAAATAAAAATAGTACCTACGCCACTGTTTTTTTCACGCGCGAATTTTCGAATTTTACTTTTAATTTGCTAGAGTGTACTATTTTTGTAAAAATAAAAATAAAACAAATTAGATCATTCATGAAGAGTTGAGATACAATTAGTTTCAAAATAAAATAGCAGGCCTTGATACCAGCTTGACGCTTCTTGGGAGATAGCTTGTCAAGGTTATGTGTTATACGGTTGTTATCGTTACTACTACCATTTTTTGATTTTTTGTAAAAGTCATATCAAAACTTTCTTTTTTCCATTTTTGAGTGCTGTGAAATGGAATTTAGCAATGATGAGTACCCCCATATTATTTTTGAGTACAGGTTCAGTAATGGAGATGCATTAGCGGCTTCTTGTGAATATCAACGGTGGTTTCTTAATAGACGCCAATCTTCCTCAAAGGTTTTTAGGCGTTCATTTCTAAGACCTCGGCAATATGGAATTGCCAGACTTCCTGGACGTAGAGTAGAAGTACTAGACGGATTGCAACCCTGGTTACCATGTTTCCAAAGTCGCGTGGAGAATTTTGTATCGGGAAGTTTTACATCCTTACCATCGGCAAAATGTACAATATCTGTAACCCGGCGTCGAAGTGCAACGGCGAAATTTTTAGAGTGATTACGAGGTAAAACTGTTACATAGAAAACCCCCTTAAAATGCGGTACTGTGTGTGATGTTTCATTTTTGTTAACGGCTTGTGGATAGCCCTGTATATCTTATTTGAATTCCTCACATATTATACCGTAGCCTCAAGCTTATACAATTGCCTAACGTCAACCTTCCAGTGATCGGTCGCTGTAGTTCGCCGTGGGACACTCTGTATACTGTAAAAAAATGTTCCCCACAATTACTTTCATTAAGGTTGCAGGAGTGGAGAATGTGCGAAATAGTTAATGGAAATTCAGAGCTACAGAACATTACGAGACCTTCCCAAAACGTCCCTCACAAGCACCAATCATTTCTATTAAATTAGGTATATGTCAACTTCAGTTGCTCCTAAAACCCCCCAGAAAAATATAAAATCATCTAAACGAATTGAGTGACAAAGGAGATTAACTTACCTTTCCATCTGGTAACTTGACAGTTATGCTAGGATATAACTTCGGGTCATCTAGAAAAGTAATCAGTGTACCATCCGCAAAGTCTACATGGATCCCCGATTTCAACTCAATTGGACCAGTGGTGTATTTTCCACGCGGAAAATACACAATACCACCATTTTTTAAAGCTGCAGCATTGATAGCAGCTGCAATAGCTTGAGTACTAGGATTTCTACCTGTAGTATCAGCGCCATATTTTGTAACGTCGTAGACTACTGCGCTAACAGAGCCTACTATGATTATCTGAACTATGGTGAGACTGCGGGCGTTCATTTTGATAGTATGTCATCTAGAACTGCTTTACATTTTATGTAGTAATTACGTTGCGTTGTGCGAGAGGATTGACGAGCTGATAAATACTATCGAGAACAAGTGTATTATTTTTTCCTATTTTGCTATTTTTCAATTTGCTGTAGACAATGGGTGAAAGTCACGTAGAGCTTGAAAACTTATCTATGTACAGAGGTTAATGTGATGATTAGCAAACGTTTCCATGGAACTTTTAAAAAATATGTTGTAGCTACTTATACTAAGTGACATATAAATCCGAACACCCAGTTTAAATGGTTTTATTTTAATAAAATTTTGTATAAGTACTTAATGGAGCATAATAAGTGAGTGATAAAAATTTCAAAATGATTGCACTGCTTTAAAGCCCTTTGACCTTTAATAATATGTGGATGCACGCTGATGTGCTACGCATTCTCCAACGCGCCTAGGCATGCTTCTGATCAGGTGGTCAATGTCCTCCTGTGGTATCTCATTCCAGGCAACCACCAACTCCTCTCGAAGAGCTTCTAGAGTCTGAGGAGGACGTTGCAAATTGAGCAATCTCCTACCCATCATATCCCACACATGCTCAATTGGGGATAAGTCGGGAGATCTTGGTGGGTGGCCATGGTATTAATGTGACATCATTATGTTGAAAGAAGTCTATTGTGACTCTTGCAACATATGGTCGGGCATTATCTTGTTGGAAAGTTGGATCTGCCAGGGTGTCAAGATAGGGTAAAAGATGGGGTTCTAGAACTTCGTGGATATAACGCTGCGCGTTCATGTTACCTCTGATGAAGATTAAAGGTGACCTGGAACCATAAGCTATAGCACCCCAAACCATAACCCCAACAGTGTGATGAACATGTCTTTCAACAAAAAACTGTGGATTCCTCCTTTCACCACGTCGCCTTCTAACCCTGGCACGACCATCGTGCATGCCTAACAAAATCGAGACTCGCCACTAAAAACAATACTGTTCCATTCCTGATCCCAGAGTGACCGTTGTCTGCACCAGTCAAGGCGATACCGTCGGTGTAAGGGTTAGAAGGCGACGTGGTGAAAGGAGGAATCCACAGTTTTTTGTTGAAAGACATGTTCATCACACTGTTGGTGTTATGGTTTGGGGTGCTATAGCTTATGGTTCCAGGTCACCCTTAATCTTCATCAGAGGTAACATGAACGCGCAGCGTTATATCCACGAACTTCTAGAACCCCATCTTTTACCCTATCTTGACACCCTGGCAGATCCTACTTTCCAACAAGATAATGCCCGACCACATGTTGCAAGAGTCACAATAGACTTCTTTCAACATAATGATGTCACATTGTTACCATGGCCACCAAGATCTCCCGACTTATCCCCAATTGAGCACGTGGGATATGATGGGTAGGAGATTGCTCAATTTGCAACGTCCTCCTCAGACTCTAGAAGCACTTCGAGAGGAGTTGGTGGTTGCCTGGAATGAGATACCACAGGAGGACATTGACCACCTGATCATAAGCATGCCTAGGCGCGTTGGAGGATGCGTAGCACATCAGGGTGCATCCACACATTATTAGAGGTCAAAGAGCTTTAAAGCAGTGCAATCATTTTGAAATTTTTATCATTTACTTATTATGCTTCATTAAGTACTTATACAAAATTTTATTAAAATAAACCCATTTAAACTGGGTGTTCGGATTTATATGTCACTTAGTATATTTGGTACGTCTCGTTTGAATCAAACAGAAAGTAAGACCACAGGTTCTAAGCTAGTGACTCTTTTAACCAAGAGCATTGACAGTCCGTGCATTTTTTGCCGCGTGAAATTAACCCAAGGTGGGACACTCCCCGGGCTCTAACTTATCGTGGTCTATGACTACAGATTAACTCAAAGATGACGCGCGCTAAAGCTGCAAAGTATGTTCCTCCACCCAAAATATCGAATCATAGGTCGTACACAAAATCATTTCAACATAGTATTACAACACATAGTATTCACACACGTCTCATACAATATTGGATATTAGCCTTTTACTCAAACTACTATGTTTTTAGTGGAGTTACTCCATTGCATTTGATATTCCCTTCTTTTTTTACAACAAATTGTTTTTGTAACTGGCAATCACATAATGATCAAATTTGATATTTTAGGCTTATTTCCATCGGCTTGCGATTTCCGAGTAAGCAGCATGTCTCTGCATGGTCATTATGACTGGAATGTTGTTTCTCAATATTCTACGGGGGAGACTTAGATAGGCGAAAACAGCATTAAAGGTTTCTCAAAAATAAGTTACAATGTTTATTAAGGCGAGTGGCATGCGATTTTTTTTCAAAATATTCGAAATATATAGAATGATCATTTTTCTTTTCGCTGAGATAACACACACTGCGCTTTTTCGACCACCCTGTATTGACTTGCTTGGTGGACATGGTGGGCTCATCATCGGAAGCGAGATAACAGGAGGTACGAGGAATGTGACTATCAGACATTGTTACTTCAGAAACACCCTTACAGGGCTCCTGATTAAGACCAGCAGATTTAGAGGAGGTACAATTGAATATATCGAAGCCTATAATAAAACCATACAGTTTATTCATCACGAAGGTATAGCAATATCAACATTCTATGGTTTTCATAAAAAAGATGAACGTGTGAGACCAAGAAATGCCACAACGCCCTATATTAAAAGTATGAGCTATGATCAGATTCACGATAATAGCAGGGGAAGTGCAGTCTTGATATATGGTGTGTCAGAATCGCACCTGGAAAATGTTACAATCTCAAATATGGATGTCAGATCTGACCACCATATTCAACTCAAGAACACCAAAAATGTTATTCTCAATGGAAAGGAGAAATCTTGAAAACTGGTATCAATGACCATATCGACATGCAATTTTACTAAATAAATAGATAACATAAAAGATAAGTGTGTTTCATTATGATAAGAAAACAACAACAAATACAAAAAATAAAGACTTGGTCACTTTATGTGCTGCCTGTTATGCAGTATCGATTTTTTTTTTGACGAGAGAACTGGAAGTTATCACATCTTGGGGACGCAACAATCTTGTACAGTTTAAAGCTTCCAAAACACTGTACTGTACCTTGACGAACAAAAAGCGTTCTAGCGCTCATCCGGTTTCGATCGATGGCCGATTTCTGCCAAAGGGCCATCAGAGGAGGGCTGTCCGATTGATCGATGATTTTTCTCTAGCAGACAGTCTCGGGACCCTTTTTCACTGGCGGGCCGCCGGCGATCTAGCTCTCTTCTACCGCTATACCAACGGGCTTTGTGCCTCAGAGCTCTCTTCCATGATGCCCACGCGCGTTGTGCCTGCCAGACACACCCGGCTGACCTTGGCCTCCCATCGTAACCGTGTCGAACTTCGTACATCCAGAACTAGCCGATGCGACTGCTCCTTTGTCTCTAGGGTGTCGAGATTGTGGAATGATCTACAGGAGGAAGCTTTTCCCAGTTCTACCAACCTTAGGCAGTTCAAAAATCCGATTAACAAATTTCCTTGGGATCATCGTAGTAGCCGCGGCATTTAGGCTTCTGCCTGCGCGGCTGCTCCGGTATAAAAGAAAATAAAAAAGAAAATACTCCGAGTGCAGTATATTTGCTCAGTTTAAATACATTGCACATTGTGCTGAAGAGTTGCCAAAAAGCATGGAACAGCTGTCCATGGTTGGACGTCTGTGGTCGGCTATATTACTAACCTGTACGAGTATAATGCATGAAAAACTGAATTCAACAAATGTTCGTGTCTTGAGATACAAGGAGTGCATGAATTAATTAATACTCTAATTAATTAATTAGAATTTTGTAGGCTACAACCAATACGAACAAAAAATTTCCCCACCCTGCTTCACGGGGGAACGGAAATCAAGAAATGTTGACCCCTGTAGGATAGGAAGGAAAATTATTTTTTCTCCGACAATGACCCTTTCAACATATTTTGCTTTTTTTACCGAAGCACTCAATCTTACATAAATCGTCTCTCTTGAGAAAATTTTGTCAGATTACTTCCTTTGGAGATAAATAGGATTAAATAATTCTACTTGAAAGATACGATAAATATAGTGGTTTGACATTGCAGATTGTATGTAGTGTAACCGAAGGGCAATACCCGCTCAGCATAGTATTATTTAAGCAATATTCATGTTTTGAACTTACAGTCTCATCAATGGCATCACATCACTCTGTATTTCGGTACTGGAACATTTTAGGGGCTATGTTCAATAATAACCTTTTACGTTACTTTTTTACACACACACGCAATAATGATAACACTGAATAAAAAGAGAATTACTTTATTAGATAAATATATACATAGATTATTTTAATATCTCCTTCCGTTGATAACAATGTTCCTGGTATTCTGCAACAATATGGGATTCGGCTTCTTTGAACGCATGTCAACGTTTTCGAGGACAATATTTTCAACCGGAGATTCTGGAAGACCGACCAAGTAGATTCCCTCACGTTCTGCACTGCCACGGATATTTTCGTATCTGATGTTACGTATAAACGGTGTTTGATCCCCAATGGGGTGCCATCCTTTGTCTTTGTAATCAGGGAATAATGCCGTAATTGAAATGCCTTCCCACGTGCAGTTGTTCATGGTGAGGTTTTGATAGAGTATATCTTCAACCACGCCTCCTCTTACATTGTTGGTCCTGATGTCCACTCCTCTGCACACGGAGTCAAACACGCAGTTCCTTATAGTGATGTTCCTCAGGCCACCTGCTGTTATACTACCAATACCCACTCCACTATGACCAATTGACATGTGACTGTTTTCTATCAGAACATCATGTGTGGGATCTCGGTCCTTGCCATATCCCCAGGCGTCGAGTACTAAACAATCGTCTCCAGTAGCGACATCTACATTCGTTACGTGCACCCTATTAACTGATAAAAGGTTGATTCCATCGGTGTTGGGACCGGCTCCTTTATATGACTCAGGATTGCGGATCCTGATACCATCGACAACGATAGAGTTAGACCAAATGATATTCACGTTGAACATAGGACTGTTCCGGATGATGATATTCTTCAAAACGATGTTGTGACTGCCGGAGAAGTAGATGAATATTGGCCTAGTTGCTGGTGGAGGAAGTCTGTCCCACCAAATCGCGCCATTTCCTTCAAGGACACAATTTCCTCTGATCGCTACGTTCCTCACCCCAACACCTCTGATTAGTGGAGTAAACTCTACACGCCTTTGGTTACCATCAGGTAATGTAACGTCTAGTGGAGGATACAATGCTGGATCGTCGAGGAAAGTGATAATCGTACTATCTGCGATGTCTAGTATGATGTTGGATTTCAGCTCGATTGGCCCTGTCAGGTATTTTCCTGGCGGGAAATGGACAATACCCGCTCCATGGATTGCCGCATCGTTGATGGCTCTTGCTATCTGGTCAGTACTTGGAATTCCTCCACTACGATCGGCACCATATTTGGTAACGTCGTAAAGGGCAGCACTAACTGCTGATATTGCTATCAGCTGGATAACAGCTAACACTAACATCATCTTTGACCGGCGGTCCTGCCGTGACAGGTTTTTATACATATTTATCACCACTCCAGGTGGATTCTCGAGATTACTGTTCTATTTGCTATTGATAAGCTAATGTATAAAAATTATGTACGCGGTACTCTCAAAGCTGCGTCGATAACAGCAACTACTTAGAGGTGAACCAACCTGAAATAATAATAATAATAATAATAATAATAATAATAATAATAATTATAATAATATATTTATTTCCCAACAGATACATCCATTTAAAGGACAATGTAATTGAATACAATTTGATGTTAAAATATTTTCAACTGCAATCATAGCTCACCCATTTTATGAAAAAAAATGAATAGCTACACCTACTCACCTACACGTCTTAAATGTTATAAATTGAATAATAGTAGTCGCTGAATACAGCTAATATATCTTTGATTTTATCATGATGAATGTCACAATTATCAGCTATGGCGTTAAAGCTGGAGCACATAAAGTACACGGGTGACTTAATCATAACATTAGAATTTGGTGTTTTTAAGTAAAAAGCGAGAAATCTTCTGGAAATGCGGGACGGTACATGAAAATCAATTTTAGCTAATAAAGCTGAAGAATGAGCATCACTGTGTACGAGTTTGTAAAGGAATATTAAACTATTACAAACTCAGCTCAAGAGTATGCATTTCAAATCTGAGCAACATTGCTGATTGGGGAGTCTCACGATTGGGATAAACATCATCTAATTTGAAAGTCCAGTATTTAAGAAATCTCCTCTGTACACTTTCAATTTCATTAATATAGATTTGGTAATATGGGTGCCATACACTAGATGCATATTTAAGTTTAGAACGCACCAAGGTGCAGTGTCGTTTCACAACCAAACGATTTACAGTTTCTTATCAAAAAACCGAGACTTTTTATAGCGGATGATACTATTGTACAAATATGACCTGTAAATTCTAATTTAACATAAAACAACACACCTAGATCTCTTACTTCTGAACAACGCATCAAACTGACACCTTCTAGTGTGTAATCAAAAACTATTGGATTCATTTTCCTGGTAAAAGAACAGGTTTTGCATTTGCTAACATTCAAAAATAATTTATTAGTTGAACACCATTCAAATATATGATTCAGGTCAGCTTGCAAGGTTAGACAGTCATCAATGCTGTTAATCTGAGCATATATTTTTAAATCATCGGCAAACAACAGAGAAGGACAGGTTAAGCAGTTAGGGAGGTCATTGATAAAATAAAGAAAGAGAAGAGGACCTATATTTGATCCCTGTGGTACACCGGATGAGGCCGAGTAAGGTGAAGATTTGAAACCATGGTAAGAAACGTACTGACTTCTATCATGCAAGTAAGAAGAAATGAAATCTAATAAATGATTGCTAAAGCCAAAATGCTGAAGTTTATCTATGATTCTTTGGTGACTTATCTTATCGAAAGCCTTTGAGAAATCCGTATAGACCACATCCATCTGACCCCTGTTATCTAAGACTTCTGCAATTTCCTGGGTGGTTTCGGTTAAGTTAGAAATAGTAGAGCGATTGCGCATAAATCCATGTGGCGTCTCAGATATCAGATGCGAGGTCAAAGGATAGATGTAGTTGTTTACAGATATCTCAAATGCCTTACCAAAGTTATCCAATATAGATATAGCTCGGTAATTTTCGATTTGACTAGGGTCCCCAGCTTCAAAAATAGGGCACACTCTAGCCAGTTTCCATTTTGTCGGAAAAGTTGCTGTACTGAGGGAATAATTAAAAATTTTCCTTAAAGGCGTGACAAATATGCGCGCCGCATCACGGACTACAAAGCTCGGTACCATATCTTCTCCTGCTGTTAACTTGTTTGGTAATTTACACAGTGCCTTTAAAATATCCTCATCTGTGAAGTTACCCATGCTGACTATTAACAACGGGATGTTGGTATACATTACTATCTATAACATAAACACTTTGGAAATACTCTGCGAATAAATTAATAGTCCGATAAGGATTATCTGAGACTTCATTAGCAAGGGTCATTATACCTGGTATTCTACGTGAGCCTTCTTAGACTGGAGGAAAGACCAAAAATGATTCGGATTTGTAACCAAATCATTTTCAACTTTTTGCAGATATAGATTGTAACAGTCTTTTATCTGTTGTTTAACAAGTGCACGGACCCTAGAAAACTGTCTATAGATTTCCTGACTTTTGGAACGTTTATATTGTTGATGCAGTCTACAATCCAGTTTTAAATTTCGAATAATATCCGAGCCATACCAATCTGGATAACGATGCTTATGCTTAATATATTTCGGAACGTACAGATCAAACACGAAGTATAATTTTTCATAGGTCAATGGTCGCTAGATGCTTTTACCCATTTGTGATACCGAAATTTCCACCTCAGCCTTGGCCAATTGTTCACCTTGTGTGAAAATTTTGTCAAAATCGCTATTCGCTGCATTTTTGAAGGTTGCAATGAATTGCCCTCACATAAACAAAAACACCAAAGGAATACAGAAATGCCTACTGTTTTCGGTGCCCCTTTAGAATTTAAAAAAACCGAGTATGGTAAAGTAAAGACTCAAACAAAAATCAATCAATCCCTGCCTTTTATTCAAGAAGATGGGCCATGGACTACTCCACCGCCTAATGCCACTGGATTTCTTCTATAATTGAGCCACCACGTAGGCCTACGGCCTAAATCGTTGGGGATACGGTGGAGCTAAATTTGGATGCAGAGGAAGACGGGGTGACGTCGCGCGAAGCTCTGGTGCAAGTGACATGTGCACATTCTGGTCCCGCCTTAGAGATCCGTCGGGTTGTACCTCCTCGCTCGACGGTATGAGGCCATATGCCACCTACGGACAATCACAACATCCATAGACAAAAGAAAAGTTATTGTGGGATGGGATTCGAATCCGTGCAGCTAACGGCGGCTGATTAGTAGAGTAGAGTTTCGGAAGTTCCAGTTAAAATTGTGACCCCTTCAAGGAAAAACACTTACCTCTATTTGCATTGTTGTTTAAGTTTTGTACAATTCTATCATCAAGTTTGTAGCAACGACTGTAATCGATCGGCGCTCTGTCATAATATGAAACGATCTTATCCACGCGAAAAACACCTCAAAAACCTAAAGTTTATTTCGGTGCGAGACGACCTAAAAAACTGAGACATGGCTATACTCTTTGCTAAGGTGGTCAGATTTGTCGAGTAGTTGGACATTTTTCTAGGTCTGAATGTTTAAATAATGGTTCTTTATAATCACAATCATCTCTTACGTCGTCTGCGGGGTCATTAGTACATTAGTGCGCAAGTTGGACAAACGTTACAGGTAATACTAAAAAGTTATTTTTTCTGTCTCCAGCCGTATTCAGAAACACCAAACGAACCTTGTTGTAGCATATTTTTAATCCTTTCGAATCTGTCACCATTCGGTAACGTCTCAGTGATTTTTATTACTCTTATGTTTTGACCCCCCGCTTATCTTCCCTATCACAAGGGCTAAAAATTGTGAACAAGTAGGTAAAATGTTATAATATGGGTTAAGGGAACACTATGCAGGCCGTCCCACTATCTTCGTTTTGTTTCCCTGGATGATGTAATATTTTTAAATCCTTGTTATGAGGATATTAATAACGAACCAACAATAACTGCAAAACTAGACACTAGAGTGTGACCCCTTGACCTGCATGTCATGAAAAAGCGTGTAAAAAGTGGAATTAAAAAATTTAGAAATATACAGAATAATCACTGTCCTGAGAAAAAACACATCTTGCGCTTTTTCGACCACCCTGTATTGATCATTCAGAGGATGCAAGAAATGGACGAATGTCAGCCTAGGAAAATAATGAAAAATATCGAATAAAATTATTTTAGACTGAAATATTTGCCGAACGAATTATCAGATCGCAATTCAAATGTCATTTTTTGATTCTTCGGTCAAAGTTACTTGGGATCCGTCACTTTTCCGAATCTTGAAACTTTGAACGCGTCTCCAGAGCGAACCGTTCGACCTAGGAGCTTGGGATTTTACAATGTTCACTTCCGGAAATAAATTTGAGCCCGATGTGTGATATGACTTGTCCTCCAGTATCACGACAATAGCCAACTTTGGCCCAAGATATCGAAAATTGTACCAAAATCCGACAAATATCATGGCCCGGTACAAAATTCTGTTTATGTAGGTGGTCCTGCTGTTCCACCTCTTTTACAGGAAAACAAATATTTAATGCATTCTTCGTTTCTAGGGGCATTCGAATTATCAGCCCAATAAACCAATGGAAAATTTAGAATAAATTAATTCTAACTGAAATACCTGCTGAACGAATTATCGTGTCGAAATTTTGAGGTAGTTTTTGACATTCTTGGACAATGTTATATAGGAGTCGTCAGATATTATGAAGCCTAATGCTTTACAGTGGCAGGTGTAGCGAGAAAATGCTATAAATCATATTTTTGGCGAACCTCCAAACTTTGTTTCTACGGAACCGTTCGACCCAGAACTTTGAAATTTAAGAAAGCCTCATATATCCATAGGTATAAGAAAAAAATTGAGCCCAATCCGAGATATGACCCACAAAGCCAGGTCATGGAATTTCAGTTTCGCCCCATGTCAATCTTCTTCCTTTAAAAGGTGTGCCCGAAAATGTAATAAAAAAATATGATATTCCGTTTAAAAACCAACTTCGATGTGTTGGTCAAAATTGAGTAACTCTGTATAATTGCATTCTATAAATTGTGGGGTATGGGTGAGGATGTACCCAAATCCAACTGCAGAGCATGTCGATGTCAAAGATGCTCATGCATCCTTGTCAGAGTGTAAAGTATATTCAAAAATTCAAAAATTCAAAACACATTTATTTGCCAAAAAACAAAAACAAAAAAAAAACATTATATTTACTGTATTATAGAAAATACACACAATATTTTTGGCAAAAATATGTTAGCACCAATCAAGTCTACTCGCACCGTACTACCATTTCTGGCATTCTTCCGGTATAAATGAAACACCTCTGCTTCACTGTACTCCAGGGGATATTGACTCCGTTGCGGAGAACGAGAAATGAGCATCGTCTCGAAGATGGATAAAAAACGGACCAAGTATCAGGAGCTCTTCAATCAGCTTCGCAGGCTTTACTCAGACCACGCTGTCAATCTGCTAGTTATAGTCATTGGATCGTTGGGTGGGATAAGGAATATGCTGCTCTCTGTAAAAAAATCCATACCGGAAAGCAGACAATCGACAAAGCAGATGGAAGAATGCAGAAAGCGCTCATCCTCGATTCCCTTCGTATTCCTAGGGCACACGATTTGCGGACCACCTAGTTGCTTACCGCACGATGTGAGGAGTGGCTAGTTGGTAATGGAATTGCAGCTTGCAGCCCAAGTTATCTATTCGTCTCTTCCTTTCTTCTCTTATAATAATAATAATGTTTATTGTCACAAAATACAAGTAAATATCAAATATTGTGCACAATAAACATAAAGCACCCAAAAAAAGTTTGCACTTGTGTTTGGGTTTGTACAAAATAAAAACTAATAGTACAGTCAGTTTATGAAAAAAAAACCGTTAATACTGTATAATTTGGTGAATTATTATAGTAATGTCAGGAAAAATATCCAGACAATTAGAACTAAAGTAAAAGTATGGATGTTAGTGTAAGTAAAATATTATTGATTTTGATAATGATTTTTCAGATCTACAATTTCGTGGATGGAGTACCTTGGTTGTTGTAAAATCCACTTTTTTAGTTGTTTTTTAAATGATTTACTTGACTTAATTACTTTTAATGACTCTGGTATGAAGTTATAGAATTTTGGTCCCAAGGAAAACAGAGATCGTTGTGTAATGGTTTTTGATGTTCGTGGAAAACACATTGAATTTTGATTGAATCTTGTTGGGTAGTTATGAATGGTACGATTAAAGTATTTTGAATATCTGAAATAATGTATTAAACCACAATAAAAATAAATTTGTCTGCAATCTAATAACTGAGCCTCCATATATAGAAAATCACTTGAATAAGTAATCTCTCTATGGAGGATCAATTTTAGAATTAATTTTTGGATTACCTCAACCTTTTTGTAATTATTATTCATAACTCCTTCCCAAGCCAAAATTCCATAAAGTAATAGAAGATAAACAAGAGCATAATATAGATTATATAGATATTTCTTATCTAGAATATCTCTGAAGTACCTGAATTTTGGAATAATACATCTCAGTCTCTTCACAAGGTACTCTGTATGGGTATCCCATTTTAAGTGTTTGTCCAAAATCACGCCTAAGTATTTTATTTTATCGGCTGACTGAATCTCTTTGAGACCACTGCTTGTATGAACTTCAAGTTTTTTAAATTGTGGTGAGAGCCTGTCGTTACAAGAAAATGCTATATAGTGTGTTTTGTTGTAATTAATTGTCAAAGTTCTTTCCGAAAAGAAATTTATAAATGTTTTGAAATCATGTTCGATTGTGGTTTTTAGTGTATGCCACTGGTTGCTTTCATAGAGAATAGCTGTATCATCCGCAAAACCGATAGCTTTACCTGTACTGCTTATTTTGAACAAATCGTTGATAAATAGATTAAATAAAATGGGTCCTAATACTGAGCCTTGAGGTACACCGTATGATAAAATATGGGGTTCACTGAATGTGTTATTAATTTTGACGCACTGTGTTCGATTTGACAAATAATTTTCTATAAGTTTGTATGTTATTCCCCGGAAATCTAAGTTTTCTAAAGTTGTTAAAAGCGATTCATGAGTAATAGAGTGGAATGCCTTTGCCAAGTCAACAAAAACACAAGCAGTTGGTTTGCCAATACCGAGATTCGTGTATATTTTATTTGTTAATTTTACAATAGCATCTTGAGCAGATTTGCCTTCTTGAAAACCATATTGCTGTTCCGCTATTAAGTTATATTTTTTTGCAAATTCGGTGAATCGTTTTTTTAACACTTTTTCAAATATTTTAGAAAAATTTGTTAAGATGGAAATTGGTCGATAGTTGATGGGTTTTTCTCTTTCTCCAGATTTAAATAATGGTTTTACCATAGCGTGTTTTAAACATGAAGGGAATATTCCTTTATTCATACAAGAATTTATCAAATATGACAGTATGCCGCAGATGTTGCAATTTATTCTCTTGAGAGTATACGCTGTTATATTATCTAGACCTGGAGATTTTCTTAATTTCAATTCATTGATTATTGTCTTTATTTCATGCGTGTCGGTCGGTTCCAGATATAATGAGTTATATAATCTGGTCTTACTATAATTTAATTTCTTCGCGTTTTTTATGCTTTCTGACAACCTTTTCCCGATTTTTGAAAAATATTCACAAAATTCATTTGCGATATCTACATCATTACTCACTAGTTCACCATTTTCTTTTTTAATTGTGCCAATTTTGTTGTTTTGTTTTTTGCCTTGTATTTTATTGATAAATTGCCACATTTTGGACGAACAATTTTGTAGATTATCAAACTCGTCTTGGAGCTATTTAACTTTAGCCTCTTTAATTATTTTTGTCAGTCTGTTTCGATATGATTTAAATTCATTAAAAAGTTTAACATCATAAGGATATTTTTTAGTTTCCTTATATAATTCTATTTTTTTGTTGATCTAGGTAATAATCCCTTTTGATATCCATGCTTGTCTATTTATTTGTGTTCGTGGAATCTTTACTGTTTTGGTGCATTCAGCAATATGGCCTTCAATGCTAGATATAAAAAGGACAAATACATTTTCAATATTAGGTTCGTTATATACTACAATCCAATTTTCATTGAGCAAGTTGTTATTTAGTTTTTCATAATCAATGTAAATTTTTGTATTATTCACTGTCTTTTCAATTTTGCTTGATGTACTTTCAAGATCGATTTTGAGCAAAGTAGGAAAATGATCAGAAATTTTGTATTTTAGAATTGCTGAATATATTTTGTCAAGTTCTAAACTTGAATTTATAAACATATGACCTATACAACTCCCATTGTTTCCCTCTACTCTTGTAATTTCGTTAATGGCTGACAGGTAACTATGTTCAGCCATTATATTTAAATAATCTTGAATATTTTGATTGT